CTTTGGGACCCGGGCCCACACTCCTCCTCTGAAAGTCCCCAGAGCTGCCCCTGCCGCTGGCTCCGGACCTCCCGGGGCTTTGCTGTCCGTCCTCATCCGCGGTAGGCGGGGCCGGTGCCCCTGTGCCATCCCGGGAAGCGGCCTGTGCCTGCTCCTTCTCAAATGTCTCCGTGGCCCCCCACTTCTTGAAGGAGAAAGTTCAGCCCGCCGTACTAGCCTTGCCCTCCCTTGAGTCTGGCCCCGGGCTGGTGGGGGAGCTGGTACCTCAGCTCAAAGGATGCCTGGAGGAAGCCAGCCCCAGTTTCCACTGGTCCCTCTGAGACCTCCCCAGCTCTGGTGCGTGGTCAGGCCCTGACCCCCTCCCCGACTTCTCTGAGCAAAGGGAAGTGGAGTCACATTCTGTACGGCAGACTGACATGGAATCTCCGACCCTCAGCCTGGGAGTCCATCCTCCTCCTCCTCTCCCAGACCCACGTTGTGTAGACTCCAGATTAGGAAGGACCTCACATCTGGCCCCAGCCCAGCCCACAGGGGGACCCTCTTCAACCTTTGAATCTGGACAGCAGTGGATTAACCCCAGTTCTGTGCCAGAAGGACGGACAAGCCACTCAAGAGACCAGGATGTTGGTGGCCAAGGGCTTGCAGGAACCTTGCATTCTCGAACCTCCTGGGACTGGCAGAGTCAAGGTATGGGGCCTGCAGGCAGGAGCACGTCTCGGCAGCAGCCCCGCAGGCCTCAGTAGGCGCTTGGCCAGCTTTTCAGTACATGGAGCAGGGAGCGAGGTGCCGGTCACTTGCCGGGACCCAGCCTCCACTGCCGGGCAGCCTCCTCCACTTGTCCCCAGCCCTATTTGGCCAGCTTGGATCCCCTGCTCCGTTTCCCCAAATGTCTCACACCCCCACCCCACCCCCACTGCCACCTGGCGCCAGAGGCAGAGAAGGGTGGGCTGGGAGAGGTCCTAAGATCTCGTTCTCATGTGAGAATGTTCAAATTGGGAACATTCCCCTGTCCCCCCCCCATACCTTTCCAACCTCCCACTTGATCATCGCCCCCACTTCCCCAAGTCCAGGCCTTTGTCCAGTCCTAGCTGGCTCTGCTGTCCTGGCCCACGCTCACCTCCAGTGAGGGGGAAAGGAGACCGAAGGAGCCCACCCCCGTCCCCCCATGGCCCTTGCTTGCTTAGTGAAGGAGCGCCCCCACCAGGTGGGAAACTGCCCTGGGGCCGCAGCTTGGGTTGCCATGGGGCTGTGACTTCCCTGCCAGCCCTGAGGGACCCTTGCCTCCTCACTTTAAAATGAGACTGCTGTCTTTTTGCCCTGCCACCTTCTGAGCTGCGCCTGTCAGACCATGAGGGACTTGGGGGGGGGGCGCTGCCCAGCCAGGGAACCTCACCCCAGGCCCTTGGCTTTCCATTCCTGATTTTGTGTGGGGCAAACTCCTACAGCTGAGACAAAACCCTCCTGCCCACACCTGCTGGGCCCATGTTCAGTCAAATCCTTGCTCTACAAATATGCAAGAAACAGCTTGTCTGGAGAGTCACCTGGGGCCCAGAAGGGACCATGGGGATTCACAGGACAGGGACCAACACTCAGCATCCCGGGGTCACTCTTGTCCTCTCGCCCCCAGTGTGGGCCCGCATGAAGCTCTCCTCTACCATTTCCATTCTGGGGCCCAGAGGCCCTCCTGCCCAGACCTTGCACACACCTGCCCCCACACTGGCCCCACCCAGCAGAAGGCTTCATTTCTGCAGCCGGCCTTCAGGGCCAGAGTACCAAAACCCTGAGAATTCACCCATGGGGCCCAGTGGGACGCCCCTCCTCTGGGTGGGTGCCCCAGGCCTGGGGTGGCTGTGTCCTCAAGCCAGGGGTCGTCAGCAGGGCAGGGCCTGGCTCGGCTCCAGCCCTAGAGCCAGCTCCCCAGGCCCTGGACCCCTCCTGCCCTTTGCTGAGCCTGTTAGAGGCTGGAGGGGAGATAGCGGGGGGCTGCTCCAATGGTCCTGTGTCATCTCACGTGCCCTTGTCCAGGCACCCAGTGAAGCCATTGCCCAGAGACAGTACATGACAGGAAGCAGGCACACGAGAGGGCTGTTCACAAGCTTGGCCTCCCCCAAGGAGCTGGCATGCTCACAGTGACCGTCTCCTCCAGGCCTTCCCGGGGAACCCGCTGCCGCTGCAACATGCCCCCACCACCACCACCACGAGGGGCCTGAGAGCATCTCTCAGGTGTCAGGCTGGGGCGGCGGGAGCCCTGAAGGCCTGAGGGAGCGCCCTGGTCGGCCCCACCTTCTGCCTCTAGGCCTGGCTTCCCTGCCCAGCCCCAAGCCAGGCGGGAGAGGCTGTGGGCACCCACCCTTCCTTCCGTCCAGGCCCGGCTCCTCAGGCCGGGCAGCGGGGCCAGCTGGGCCCTCTCCTGCTCCACAATTCCGCTCTCAGACCCCCACCCCCAACCCACTCCCGCTGGCTTTGTTCCTGTCCAGGATGCACCTGGGTGGCCTCTGGCCCAATTGTTTGCTCGGAGGCCAGCTGGGCCACATCAGGGAGAAAGAATGCCAGACCCAGGATGAAGCACCCAGTGGGTGCTGGGGCCAGTGTCCTGGGAAACCGCAGGCCACCCTAAGGTACTGACCACCTTCTCCATCGGGAAGGGCACCCAACACACACCTCCTGGGATTCTGGAACTGAGGAAGTGTGGGGACCTCACAGGACTCCAGTTTATGCTCAGACTAAGGCCCTGGGAATCAGAATCACACCAGGAAGCTCCCCAGCGGCCGGCAGCCAGGAGCCGCAGGACCACCCCCGGGCAGACGCCTTAGCCTGCGTCCAGCAGCCACCCTGTACCTCCGAGCCCGTCTGGGCACGTCTGTGCAGATGTGGAAACTGAGGCCCAGATGGGAGTGGGGCCCTGTCCTGGGCTACAGTGGCGGGACAGCCCCTGGCACGCCGGCCTTGTCACTCACCACCCTACGAAGTGCCCTATGCCAGGAGCCAGGCGCTGACCCAGCTCTTGCCAGAGCATCAAACCAGCCACCACTCCTCACTCCTTCTGCACACCAGCACCAGGCCCCACCAGGCACCTCCCTCCTCGACATCAGAGAGGACACCTGGGAGCAGGTCCAAAGGGGACCCTTCCTGGGGTCAGCATACCGCAGAGGAAGAGCCCCAGCCTGTCACAGGTGTTGGTGGCAGACTAGGGGAGATCCGCTAGATCTGCTTCCTGTCCGATGGGTGCTGGAGACGTGCCATCCGTGCTCTTCCTCAGCCCTCCGGTTCTGCCTCCTGGGATTGCAGACTCCTAGTATCTCCCTCCTCAGGACCCCAGACCCACTCTCACCCCCTGACAACACACATTACCCTCCAGGGGCTCCTGGGGTCTTTCTTTGCACCCTCCACTCTGACCCCGTCGCCCCCACCCCGGCCCTTCCTCCACACCCGGCCTGCTCCCCCAGTATTCTAGCCCACGCGGGTGGGCCGGGCCAGAGGAGCATGGTGCCCTGTGCTGCTGTGCCCCAACCCGGCCTCCTAGGGCTGGGGCTTCAGCCAGTGCTTTCCCAGACACTGGTGCCCTGACTGGAACCCGCCCTCACCCCGAAAGAGCACAGAGCCTGCGAGCACAGGCGCCCTGATGTGTGGCCACATCTGCCGCTCAGACAGAAGCTGACCAACCCCAGGACAGGACAGCAGTGCCAATGAGCAGAAAGCAGAGCCCCCGGGCTGGCCCCGCAGAGCCGGGTCTCCCTGCTCACCGAGGCCCGGCGCACAGAGGCAGCTCTGAAGTTTAGGGAGTCGGTCTGCTCCTGAGGCAGCCGGCGCACCAGGCAGGAGGGACTGAAGGACAGCAGCGAAGACGGCCAGTGCTGCCCCGCTGCCCGGGTCGGGCGGGGTCAGCCCTCCCGCCCAGCCCGTCTCGGAGGCTCTCTGGCCGCGGCGGGACCTCCACGTGATGCAGCGGAGAGTGGGTTTAGTGTGTGAGCCCCAGCCCCGGCCCCAAGCTGCTGGGCTGAGGGGCCATGCTTGGTCCCCACTCGGTCCTTCCCACATCGGCCTGGACGCCTACAGCCGTCAGCCCCATTCACAGGACACACCGCAACTCAGCCAGCGGTCCCTGGGCCTCCCCCAGAGCGGATCGGTCACTGGATGAAACCCTGACATGGGGAAGGTGTCGCAAGCCCGGGAGGTCACCCAGTGTGAACAGAACATGACGTATGATGTGTGCCCTGTGTTGGGACGCAGGGCTGCTCCGCTGTTCGCGGTGGAGGCGCCGTCATTCCACATGCCGAGCACACGAAGGCTGCACTGCCGGCCACCTGGGAGAGGTGCAACCACTGATTTTTTTTCCTCTGTAATTTTACATATTCTGAAAACTATCTCCAAAAAGATACATACAGTTCTTAAAAAAACAACTCAAAAAACCTCACAGTGCCTTCCCCCATTCAGAGCAGCACGTGTCTGGGCTGCAGTTAGGGGATGCCAGGTGGGGCTCTCAGCTTGGGGGCAGCTCAGGTGGGCTTCCAGGCCCTGGCTCCCGTCACAGGACCTCCGCGGTCACAGGGCTCGCCCGGGCCATCCCTGTCTCAGGTGCAGGCATCTGGCCAGAGCCCCAGCCACTCCCGGGGGCCCCCAACCCACTCTGGGCCAGGGGCCTTCCCTGCCGCAGCCAGTCCGGGAGGCAGCGAGTTAGAAAAGTCCACACCTGATGTGTTCCAACAATTTTAATACATTCAAGAATATTTACTAGAACAAAATTTTAAAGTATTGTTAGCAGAAGCCCGTTTGTTGACAGAAAAACAAAACTGGTCCTTTTGCTGTAAAGCTTGTGCTTAAAGGGAGGAGGCAGGACGACTTCCTGGAGGCCTCCCAGCAAGTGCGCTGGACAAAAGCACCTCAGAGCATCACTTCTAGGGACACATGACCGGCAAGAATCATCCTGTGAAGCCGACAGTGCAACCAGGATCCTACCAAAAAAATCTCACCTGCTGATCCACGTGCAAATGTGGGCAGCCTGGCCGCATGGTCTGTGGTCAAGGAGACAGCCTGGGCCTGGCAGGCCCTCCCAGAGGCCACCCTCTGCCCCGTCACCGTCCCCAGGGCGCAAGGCCGGGCAACGCCAGCCATGTGGGCACAGCTATCAGCAGTGACCACCGCCTCCCGAGGATGCTGGCCACCCCCGCCCCACAGCAGGAGCAACAAGGCTGACACTGGCTCGGAAGGGACAGTGGTGTGACGGCAGATCCAAGAAAGTCTCCTCCATTGGACGAGGCCCCTCCTGACAGAACAGACGACATGCGGCCGCACAACAGATCCAGACAGACGCACAGGCCTCCCCGCGGGCAGGTGAGAGAGAAGAGCCCCGACAGCTGCTCAGAAAGAGCACAGAGCACCGGAGCCACGACACGGGGACAGAGCTGGTCGGGGAGGGGCAGGGGTCTGCCGGGGTCTCCATGTGCACTGGGGCTGCACTTTGCCCACCAGGCCTCTCCTTCCACAGCTGAAAACAGGTGTCTCACACAGAGCCTGCAGGTTCACCAGGCGCCTGGGACCTGGGCCCACGGCTGCCCACACAGCCCATCTTAACAACCGGGCTCTGCTCTGGGCGGTTGGCTCGCCCACCCCTGGTCTGGAATACCCACCACCGGCTCGGCGGCCCCGCAACTGGGCGGCTCTTCCGCAAAGCAACAGGTCTCCCCGTCATTCCAAACACCGGCGGCTGCATCAGGCGCGCGTGAGGGGGGATTCCTGCTCCTGGGAAGGGCCGCGGGTCAGTCACCCGGACGCAGCCTGGCCTCGGGCCCCTGCGAGGAGAGTTAAGGCACTTTCTTCCGTCCCCGCCAGGAGCATCGTCGCACCGTCGGGCCCCTCGACTTGTTCAGCTTTCCCTCCTGCTTCGTCCGACGACGTTCCCACCTCACGTCCAGGATCTGTGTTTTATCGCTACGCTCACTATCAACAGCTTAACTTTGGTACTAACAGAACAGAAGCTATTTTCCCCAATATTGCTCGTAAGAAAAAAATTTTTAGCTGGAGAATTCCTCTGACCAACTCTGTCCAGAAACCTGATGTCAGCACTGGCGGGCAGGGCGGCAGGGAGCGCAGGGCTGTGTCTCGCCGGCGAGGCCCCGCCACACGGAGGGAGGGAAGCAGGGATCGTCAGGGGCCCGTTTCCCTGCCTGGGTCGTGGTGCTGTGGCAAAAGCTCTCAGGACCCCCGCAAGTGGCCTGCACGTTCACCCCCTTCCCACCAAGTTCAGTGCATGTGCGCCCCCTCCACACCCGCAGTTCCCCGTCCTCCTTGGCAGACCCGCGTGTGCGCTGAGCCCTCGGGGCAGGTCCTGCAGGAAGCCTGGGCCACGGAGGCTCACGCTGGGCCCGCGCTCAGGTCTCGAAGTACTTGTAGATGGCCGTCACGTACAGCATCACGTTCTGCCAGTCTGGCCGCTCAGTCCGCACCATCTCATTGATGTCCTGACAGAGGAGAGGCTGCTCAGAACCCAGGTCACCTCCTGCTGCAGCACCACCTGCTCTGGGGCTGGGTGCCCGCCCAGGACCCACAGGACTGTGGTCCTGACCATGCGGCCAGGGGCCCAAACGCCCGCTCCCTCTCTCCAAAGTGCCCGGAAAGCACCTGCTCCGTGGGTGTCAGCATCGCTGAGCCAGCTGCCTTCCACAGCCCCGAGGCTGGAAGAGTCTCGTTTTCTCCGGGGCCTCCTCCTCACCTGCCCTCCCCAAGCCCTCCCTGTGTCACCAGGCATCGCCCTGGGAGAGCCCGTGTGCCAGGCTCCCAGCTCATGCCCTGCCCACGGCGGGCGACCCCCTGACATCCCAAGACAGTTTTGAGTGTGTCCCACACGACATCCGTGGTCTGGGAGATGTCATGTGATGCTGCAGGGAAGTGAACGGGGGACCCCAGGATTGGGATGTGCCGGGGGCCCCACAAGAGATCCGCTGTTGCTGAAGGACATCAGAAACCATGGGAAATAGAACACGTGTGTGTTCAAAATAGTCTCGACAGAAAGTTTTTAGGGTGGGGAAATGGCCTGCTTTTTATAGATGAAAACTTTACCTGTGTTGTGAAATACCCCGATAGTGGAAAGTATTTCAATACCTCAAACTTCTTCTCCACATACACCTGAATAGAATCCACCTTAAAAACATGTGTTTCTACAAATTCAGAAACTACATTTATGGAACTCTATGTGAACACCTACAGCGTAAAGATAAACGTAAATCCTTCTTCAAAGCTACTTTTTGATTGTTTTAAGTCAGGGTGACGGGCACCCGTGGGGTAGGAGGCAGCACAGGGGTCCCTGATCTGCGGACCCAGAGCCATGACACCCTAGACTGTTTATCTCATCAGTGGCCCCAGGTTAGTGGTGGGGGAGGTCTGCCTTGCGTTGGATGCAGGATCTCCTCTGTGAAAGTCAGGCCTGGTGACGAGACAAGAGCCCCAACAGAAGCACATGTTTTCTGAGCTACTGCAGCTGCCGAGCGAGGCCTCAGGGTGACCCTGACCCTAGAGCTTCCAGACGGTGCCCTTGAGAAGGGCCTGCGCCCCCTACTTTGACACAAGCAGGCAGACCTGCCAGCAGGTGCCTCTGACAGTGAACTTAAAAGCTGAACCCAAGAAATCAGTTAAGGAGTAAGCGACCCGAGTCAAGGTCACCATGCCTGCGGCCGAGACCACCCCTCCAACACAGGGCGCTTCCCCAGGACACCTGACCTGATGCATGAAGCGCCCGGGGCTGGGGGCCATTTGCACACCACCCGAGAGCCATCCTGGGCCCCTCTTGGGGGCCTCCCTCAATAAAAAGGATGCTCTTCTAACAAACAGGGGACCCTGCCAGCACCCACTTGGGGGGACGGGGGCTCACCAGTGTGGATTTGATGCCGACACTCTCAGCAGCCTGGAAGGCCAGGGTGAAGTTCCTTCGCTGTAAGAGAAACCGCACGTCTGGAGTGGCCGAGCAGGGCCAGAGGAGGGCAGCCCGGGGAGGATGGATGGATGGATGGACACCCAGCCCCGACCGTACCCCGTGCCCACCACCCTCCTCCTCAGGGCCCTCCCGCCCTGCTCATGAGCAGCTGTGCAGTGACTGCCACACTAGTTCGTCCCTCCCCACAGGAAAAGGTCACTTTTCACACATCAGCCCAGGGCTGCCCGGACACCCTCAAGCTAGTAAGAGACACCTGTGAGGTCATTTCCTCCCCACAAGGATCGTGAAGGTCGTGTGAAGGGCAGGAGTGACTGATGGGGGGGCACCAGAGGAGGCTGGGCCTGGGGAAGCTCCCCCTGCAAAGCCCTGACCCTAAATGCTGTCACCCAGAGAGGACAGATGGTCCCCCAAGAACGCCGGCACCAGGGCTGTGAAATGCCAGCGGCGCGGCCCCACCTTCTCCTGGCCGTTGAGCTCCTGGTAGGGGATGTGGGCGGGGAGGTACGTATGCAGGAGGGCGCAGAAGGCCAGCCCGTCGTTCCAGCTGCTGCTGAAGTTGGTGATGTCAATATTCTGCAGGAGAAAAAGGAAAACATGTCAGCGACACACACCGGGGCTCCTTGGGAGACAGTGAGGAGGGTGGAGGGGCCTCTGGACAAAGCAGGGTGGCTGGGGGCCGGGTCCCCAGACCAGCTGGTGCCAGTGACTGGCTCTGACCCTGCCTACCAGATCACTGAGCCACCCAAACCCTCATGTGGAAGAATCGTGGCTCCGGGAGCAGCAGTTCCAAATGAATTAGAGTCCTGGTCTGGCCTCCCCTCTGTTTTCGGGGACATCACAAGCCCTGCATCCTGAGGACGGCAGCCGCCAGCCCAGCGTGGCGCCAGAAAGCACCTCCAAGAACCACCCCACATCCCAGGTCAGCTCCTCCCAACTACAGAAGTGACGTGTCACTCACGGTCTCTACCACACGATAGAGCGACCCAGGTATGCGGCCTCTACCTGTATTTGCAAGAATCCTTCTGAAGTTGAAACTCCACAATTGAATTTAGAAATTCACACACTTTACGAAAATGCCAAAACTAAAAAAGAGAGCATCTCCACCCTCAAGCACCTCGTGCTTTGTGCACCCTGTGCTAGTTTCAGGCAGCCCCCAGCTAGCTGCACGCATCCACTTCCCGGGAGACTTCAGCCCAGGCTCTGCTCCTGGACGCAGCCCCCGGCCCCTGGTTCTCACTCCCGTGGGAGCAGCGATCACAGAACACCACCATTCACGCCCGTAGAGTTTTACAGAGTCTGCCACCCCTGCTCTCCTTACTAAGTGTTGGGTCCTGACACCGTGCAGGGACCTGCAGCCCCTGGACGAGGGGCGGGCAGGGAGGGTGGGGACAAGGCCACCTTCATCCAGGCTCATGGCCCCAGGGGTGGGGTGAGTCTCCAGACAAAAGCAGCTGGTGACGTCGGCGAGTGCATGGCTGGACCTTCCATGAGCCCTGTCACCACAAGAATGGTCCAGCCCCAACAGCAGGCGCCCAGGACACTGACCCTGGGGCTTCTGCTCAACCACAAGCCTCAGAAGGGCAGCAGCTTTGCAGGAAAGTGTCCCCGGGGTCGCCCCCTTAGTCACCACCTATCTGGCCCAGAGACTTTGCTGAGGAAAGTGGCCAGATTAAGGCACCAAGGGTGCAAACCTGCCAGAGTCACAGGGGAGGCCGCGGTCAGCCTGCAGGGGACCACGTGCCATCTGACATCCATGCACACCGCCGGCTGCTCAGTGACATCGCCCCCAAGGATGAGGCCTGGACAGCCCCTGCCACAGTGGTCCCCACGCTTCTGACCATGAAGACATGGTCCAAACAGGCACCTGCCTACATTCCCAACAGGGAATGCCGCCTGTGTGCCAGGAGCCACGTGGGGAGGAACCAGGCGAGGGACAGGGTCACAGGTCTCAGGGGCTGGGCTGGCAGCACGGCGGACGGGGCGGGAGCCCTGGGCCTGAGCATCCGCGGGCAGTGTGACACGACTTCTCACAAACACAGGCACGTTTTCCTGTTAGGAGGCTCAGGTGTGTAAGGACCCACACTTGCCGACACCTGGACCTGCCCACTCCTCCTGGTCCTCCAGCCGAGCACCCTAACCAGAACGAAGTGCCATCTGGGCCCCGTGGCAAGGACGGAGAGCAAGAGGCTTCTCCGTGGCGCGTTTGAGCTCTGCACCAGTCAGCGGCGGCGTCTGCGGAGGCTCCGGCCAGCCTGGGGTCACAAGCTTGGCTGGAGGAAAACAAACCTCCACTTCCTGCCGCGGCCCCTCATCCGGCAGAGCCGCCTACGTGCCTGGCCTCACCGGCCGGCAGCAAAACTCTGCTTCTGCCCCAGGGGAAGCGACTGTGCCGGGCTCCCAGCTGTGGGAAAACACCCGCCCCAGCCTGGAACCCGCAGCCGGGGCAGTGCCCCATCCCGCACACTCCAGCGCTTTAAAGCCCAAGGAGACATTGCGCCTCAAGTTCCTGCAACAGACACACAACCACACTTCCAAACTGAAGCAACGAAGCCCAGAGCACTGTCCGGAGCCCCGAGCCGGATGGGGCCGGCCATGCCCACCCGGAGAGGAGGGGGAGGGCCCGGCCTGAGACCCCGGGGAAGGAGCCAGGCCCTGCACAGAGGCCGGTGGGAGCGGGGAGCAGGCCTGCACCCTCTGCTCCCATCTCACCACCTAGTTCACTGGTTTTATGCTCAGGACTGGAAAGTCAAACTACTGTGAAACAACAGACGGAAAACAGAAAAGTGTACAAACAGGCTGGTCTCCAAGGTGAAAAGCACCATGAAGACAGGACATTCCCCTGACCCCCGTACGCCCTCTGGGCGGCACAGCTGTCACGGCACATTCATAAAATGGCAGGATTCACAGGGATAAGTGAGTGGAAAGGTACAGAACTGTCTGAACTTCCCAAGAAACAGCTGTTCCTACAGGAGCCACCCCCTCCCGCTCACCCCAGCCTCCCACCAGCTGGGCCAGAACCAGGATCACAGGGGCTCCAGGCCTCAGGACAGGGCAGTGGGGGCGGGGGACCTGGGCCCACCCAGGCTCCTCACCTCAGTGATGCAAGCCCAGGGGCAGACCTGGCCTCTCGCCCTCTCCCCATCCTTTGCTCCCTGGGACCCCAGAGTGACTGCCAGCCCCGCCACCCACGGGGCTTCAAAGGAGAACAGGGACAGTCCATGCGGGTGTGATGAGGAGCTCAGATAATGAGCTGTCTCAAAACCCTTCAAAACCCAAGGTGGGAGAGACAGTGGCTCTATGGTCATTCACTTCAAAGTGCCCTCCGCAGGGGGTGGCGGGCCTCCCGGGGAGGACCTTGTCCCTCCAGGGGGATGAAGGAGACCTTGGCCTTGGAAGGAGGGAGCCACTGTGCTGACCCCCAGCGAGACACCCTCAGGCCTGCGGGCGGAGGCCCGGGAACCACTTGTCAGGGCTCCATCCCTGGGCAGTGAGTGTCTTCTGGCATGAGAGGGTGTGAGGACTGCAGAGATACTCAGGCATAAAGCAGACTGGACTCGGGACCAACTGGCCACAAGGGAGCGAGCATGCAGCGGGGACACTGGGGACTCTGTGAACACAGTGCTTGCTGTGAGAGACCCGCCTGCGCCCAGGAAGGCACCTGGAAGCTCTGAGGAGGGGGCTGCAGACCAAGCCCCTGGTGTAAGGGCCACGCAGAGGAGAACTGACAGGCGGAACAGAGGAAGAGGGAGTCAGCCCAGGAGAGGGGTCGGCAGCATGAGAACTGGAAACCCCTGATCCTGGCAGCACTCAGTCGCTGGGGGCCGCGCACCCGCAAAACCACAGGCCACATCACCCGTACAACCTCCCCCTCCCACAGACGTGCTTTTCACAGCACGTTTACTTCACAGAGTTGTCTGGAAATGGAATGTCCATCTTTAGAAAGTGACATCTCCAGGGCAGGGAGGGCCCGGGCCAGGGGCCACACGCAGGGCGGGTCAGGCGGGATAAATAAGCCGTGTCGAGGGGAGGAGCTTGAAGGAGAGGTTTCTTCTGTTCACTCTGCACAGGCAATGGCACCAAGCTCCCCAAGAAGGAAACAGCTTTCTTTTAAAACAGAGACATAGTGATGACAGTGCAAGCCGCTGGCGCATGGGTTCAGGTCTCTGAGGGCTCCCCAGCACGAGAAGAGTCTGCGTCTGGACAGAAACAGGAGGCTTAACAGTAGGCAGAGCAAAAGTTCAAAAAAGCCTCGGGCACAGACTCAAATTAGGTGCTTCGCCCCATTTATCCCTGAAGGTGAAGTCCTTCCGTCCAGGAGATGTCGACGGTGATGTGGGCGGACAGACAGCAGACTCCATGTGTCACATCGCCCAACCCTCTCCCCAAGGAGGGTTGGCTCTGGTGGCTCCTGTGACCGTGGCCTCAGGTGGGTCCCACTCCTCTGCACTGAAGGTGTGGGGTGGGGTGTGAGAGCCAAGAAGTTATCCAAACCTCCACAAAAAAAGATGAAAGAATTTAAAAATGTTTCAATTTGTCTGAAGTTTAATTAAGGACCATGAACACCCCCAAATACCACGTTCTTAAAATAGTTATTAAGGTTCTGATCTATTTTAGGAAATGCCACTTTTATGGGCATAAAGCAGGGCCAAAGCCTGTGACTCATCCCTGTAACTCACAGCACCAGCTCCCTCCGGCCTTGGAGGGTCCTCCCGTGACCGACACACCGGGAAGTGGGGTGCTGGGGCCGCGCCTCACCTGTAGGAGGTAGGAGGGATCCTCGCACAAGCCCCTGGCCACGGGCCTCAACCAAGGCCACAGAGCAGTCCTGCGGGTGTCTGGGGACCTGGGTGAGGTGGGCAGGGGTGCAGCGCCTACAATGGGAAAACCCCCCACAGGCAGTTTTCACGGCCTGGAGGGATGGCTAGGGAGGCTGAAGGCCCTGGGGTGCAGGCGGCAGCATCCAAGTGAAGCCTGGGGACCTCGTGTGTCTCCTGTTTGACGTCCAGCCAGGCTCTGCCCCAGTTGAGGGAGGGAGGGTGGGTGTCGGGGAGAGCGAGGCCCGCTCACCTGGGTGTCGTGCTGGGGCTCATGCGTAAAGCGGGAGGAAGTAAGGAAGGAAGTCAGGGAAGGCGGCCCTGGGTGAGCCAGAGACCCTGAGAACAGAATCCCATATCTTGGGCGGGGAGGGGGTTCCAATAAGGACCCTCCATCCTCACTGTGCCTCAAATCACCTGCAAAGCCTTTTCCAAGCGACATGGGTCCAGCCCTCCCCTGGGAGGTTGATCCGCCTGATCTGGGCCTCATACTCCATCAAGGTCTCCAGATGCCCAGCACGCAGTCAGGAGGCAGGAGCACTGGCCCCAAGATGGAGGTGCACCACAATAAAGAACCACTGACAGACTTCGGACGTGGCTTCTGCCCAGTACCTCTGTACACCAGGTAGGTATCATGGCAGCTGACCTACCCGGCTGAGAGCGTGTAATGACCCAAGAGTGGGTTTTATGAGAACTTATTATGGCCCTGCTTTAAATTTTTAAAAAACAAAAATAGCTAAAGGTAGGAGGCAGGACACC